GACTGAGACGGCTGGACGGGGGATCGAACCAGTGACCTTCTGGTTCCAGGACGACTCCCCTAACCACTCTTCCACAGCCGCCCCCTGGGTGTGGGTGAAAAATCCCCCCCTCTGCCTGAGAGAGGAGATCTCGTCGAACCGGAAGTTGCCAGGGTTGAGCTGCTAGCAAGTTGATTATCTCGGCGTACCAAGACTTCGCTGGCCAGCGGGGTGCCACTAGGATCAAAGACAGGCTCTGTCCGCGCACCCTCTCTAGTACAAGTGGTATCATTTCCACTGGGTGAAACACATACAGAAGTACAACGGGCCAAGGATGAGCTAGGGCGTCCACTCCCAGAGAAGCGCTCTGCTCTGTCATGGAAAAGAACAGAGGACAGTGTGTGTTTGCTCTGGAGRCAAACAGATCTACTGTCGCTTTGCCAAACAAAACCCAAATCTGGGCCACCACAGTGGGATGCAGCCTCCACTCCTTTGCTAGAGGTCCACCCCTGGAGAGGAGGTCTGGACCTAGGTTCAGTCTAGGTCCAGWGGAGGGTCGGGCCACTGTACCTCCAGTTTAGCAGCAGCTCGGCGGCACAGTGACAAGAAGGACGAATCCTGGTCCACCCTCGCAGCAGCAGGGGTGGAGTGAGCTGGGCACTGCTCCTCATCGTCTTCGGACAGACTGAGAACCTCCTGCTCCATCTGCAGAACATCGTCCACCTCTTGGTTTAGTTCCAGTAGAAACTGGGTCTCGCCCCCCTCGATGTTGGGTGAGGCCGCCTTGTGCTCCATCTGGTCCGCCCAGCTAGCGGCGGAGGCTTCGACCACCGAATCCTCGTCTTCGTCGGACTGAGCCGTCTGGCTGGATTCGGAGAGCARCGGGTCTTGTCGGAAAACAGCAGTTTCCCCCAGCATTTTCTCCAGGAATTTCACTCTCCTCTCCAGTATCGGACGTGAAAGTCTGGCACAGGCCCGGCAGGACTTGGGCTCCACAAGCGCCCGTTGAGCGTGAATGATTCCTAGGCAGGCCGGGCAGGCCTCATGCTGGTCCTTCTCATGAAGCTTAAAGCCGCACCCCTGAGGACAGGGTCGAGCAGAAGACTTCAGCTTATTCGGAGGTGGTTTTGTGCTCATCGTGAACCACAAAACAGATTTTCAGCAGAAAATAAAGGTCACTAAAGTAGCATTGGGCGGCAGACACATGAACCAGCAGGTAACGCAGTTAGCACCAGTAAAGCTAGCCTAAGAACCTTAGAAGCTGAGCTAACTAGCAGCAGCTATGTGAGCTCAGGTTTAGAGGTGACTATCACGAGGTGAAGGGYGATAGAACTGAGTAATGATGCTGGTGACTCCAAACTTATAGGGTGAAGGCGAGCCTGTCACCCAATGTTCAACGTCACCACGTCACCGGTCTAAAGACGTGATTAGAGGTGGCTTCAGCCAGGCGCGTGAGGGCGTGTCCCATATACAACTGTGTGTTGTACTGAGTGAAATGACTGAAAAGGAACTCATTTGGAGCTCTTCAGTGTGACTGGAGTGTGGATAGTTGTTTCTGTCTGTGATGGTCTGGAGACCTGGGAAAGGCTTCAGCCTCCACCTTGTTCCTGATTAGGAACAAGGGAGACATAATGGATGGATGATCAGTCATAGCAAAAAACAGGTATTTAAATATAAAACTTTTTTTATTTAATCTCAATTAACATCCATAGTTTTGTGTATTTTGTAAATATAAAAAATAAAATGATAAAAACATTTGACAGCTTGTAGGAATGAACACATTTGTAACATTTATTTAAAATGCACCTGTTTGAAAAACAAAACTATAAATACAGGTGTACCCTATTTCTTAAAAAATGGTTATTTACCATTTTTTAAAAGAAAACTCGTCCCTTTTTTGCTCATAATTCCTACTAACTGTTGTAGATACAATGCTCCCTATAATTGTGAAAATAATTTGTTCTCCTATGTTTTAATGCTTGTTTCCCCTCTACTCAGAGAGGTAAACAAGCTGAATATTTTTATGCATAACAAAAAAAATACACAACATATATACACAACAAAAAATATGCAAATTAAATTGAAATGGAAGGAGGTAGAAAGAAGAAAGAAAGGAGGCAGAAAGAAGAAAAAAATCTTATATCTGCCCCTTTTTTCTATCTGTGCCCTAAAGGGTTAATTTTCTGAACGGTGGGGGTTGTGGGCGGAGTTAACTGTGAACGGTGGGGGGTTGTGGGCGGAGTTAACTGTGAACGGTGGGGGGTGTGGGCGGAGTTAACTGTGAACAGTGGGGGTTGTGGGCGGAGTTAACTGTGAACA